CTAGCGGGAGCGCTGTGCTCCGGGAGCCGCCGGCGCTGCTCGGGGGGGCGCTGCGGGCGGGGGCGCCAGGGGGCTGCCAAGGAGGCTCACCGCCTCGATAACCATCGCCGTGAGTGAGAGAAGCTTTCCTACACGCCTCGGGAACCGGAACGCTCTTCCACAAGGCTTTCCACTTAATGGTGTGGCGGAATTTAATCTTGGCTTCCGTCGTACTCTCCGCAGGGCCGGTGCGGCAGGAGGCGGCGGGGTCCGCAGGGTTCCTTGGGCAGTGGGCGCAGGATCCCGGCTGCGGCAGGGACCCCCGCGGGGATCAGTGCGCCCTCCCCAGCCTCCTGCTCCGTGACTTACACTGCAGCACACTGGCTCCAAACCATGATCTGCCGCGGCAGGGGGACGTGGGATTTCCCTTGGTCCTCGGCTCAGTCTGACCTTAAGTCATTTATTCCTTGTAATCGAGAGGATATGATTTAACTAAATAAAACCCCCACATTTCCTCGTTTTTCCTCTCCATTCATTCTTCATATAGCTTTAAACCCGCGTAAACTGCTCCTCCTACCATGTTTGCTGCTTTCTACTTCACTTTTAATTGTATTTGATTTTAATGGCTGGATTAATGTGGGGGAGCTGTCTGCCTCTTGTGTGTTGCTGTCTGCAGTGAAAGAAACCGCATTATCTGTTAAATACAAACACTGAGATTCCAAGATAGTAACACCATCTGCAAAATCTTTTTTTTTTTTTTTTTTTTAACTCATGGAAATGTATGTGTTATAAATGCAAAGGCAATTTCGGGTTATATAAAAGAGAAAATTTATTATCAAACAATAATAAATTCGAACAATGAGAAAAAAACCACAATAAAATAAGCAGCGCAGCGCTGGGTGGACAGGGTCTATACGCAAGGTATAGATGCTCCCAAATCCACGCCTGAGAGTCCTTTGGCCTGGGTTTTTATAGGAAGTTTGTGTCCCGAGGCCAAATTCCAAGCAGGCACCCTTTGCTAAGAGGTTCTTGATTGTTCGAAGAATAGATTTCCTGGCACTGGAGAATAGGGTCAATAGACGTTGGGCAGAGGCTCCTCATATGTAAAGAGGTCCAGGATGTCTTTTTGATATCATTTTGGTCCGGGCCATTAGGGTGGAGTGGTGGCACCCATCCTGGAGCCGATGGCTATCTCGGCTGGCTCCTCTTCCTTTGTCTAGTTTCTCCATTTCTCCAGCACAGGTGGTCAGGGCGGAAATGCTCGGGCTTGGCGATATTTCGTCCGGGCCCGTTCCTTTGTTTGTTCGATGGCCCGTGTCCTGCCCATTCTTTCGGGGCTGATGTGCCTGCTTGCGATTGTTATCTGGGTGCTTGGCTGCAATCTGTTGCTTTGGAAGAGAAATCCTGCCTCGACCTGGAGGAGGATTTCTCATTCCATATTTTCATCATTTACAATTACATATACTTTATTTAAACCTTTTCTTTCGAATTTTTATTCATCTAATTCTTTATTACATATGGTTTGTTCTTTGTATGTGTAAGGTATTTGTTTTCGTTGCAATAACTGAACCCTCATGATAACAATACTCATCCACACATATAACAAGGCAAAGTCATATACACACACACACACACACAAATATGTGTATCTTTAATGACACATCCAGAGAAAGCAAGTGACAGCAGGAGAATGCTGCCTTCAAAGTAGCAGGCTAGACCAAGCAAGATGAGGCCAAGTCACCACTGTCCTGTCCTCTCTGCCTTCATTTAAACCAATGTACAATAAGCACAGAACAGGTACAAACTGCTTGCAAACCATGATGTCTTTCTCTTTCTTTGGTCCTATGGATAAGAACATGGGTAAAACCCAAAAATGAATGCAGCCCTTTTAATGATAATAGTCCATCACAAACAGGCTCAGTAGGTACCCTCTAACTACTGGAATAGATACCTTCTGCCCTGTAAACAAAGTAGCCATTTGGCCACATGACTAAATTACAATATTCAGCACTATGGGCTTTGTATGAAACCACAGTGACCCATCAGAGTTCCTCTAGTATGAACTGTACTATGCTCTTGCCTTTCTCAGCATAAAGCCTGAAAAAGTTTTATATTATTTACGCATGCAAACTACATGTGATGCACAGTAGAAGAGATCTTAAAATTCCAAAAGTCCTCCCCTCTGTTCACACATTCCCATTGGTCTATTAATCCTCACTTCCCACTCACATCTCTAGCTACCACTTTTTTCATCTCTTCCTCTAAGTCCTTCCCCATTTAGTCCCTCTTTCCCTGTTCTGCAGGCCACATACTTCTGTAGCTGATCTCCACCTTTCAAGCTCTGTCTAACTGCCTTGGTACCCCCTCTTCACCTCTAACCTCTCAGTTTCTCACTGGAAGAGGAAAGAAGGCCTAAAAGGAGACCTGGAAATGATAACCAAGTCATTATCTTGCATCCCTCTCCTTTCTACAGCAAAGGTTCTGGAGCCAGAGACCGGTATCCAGCTATAAAAACTAACCTCCAGCAGCATGCCAAGGGGCAGAAGTTAGGTGTGCTCACAATTACCAAGGCTACCTCCCCGCTCACAGTGCCACACTGAACCATTTATTATGATACAATGTAACGAACATAAATGGCCCAAAACACCCATGTTTAAGACAAAGCTGGTCATCCATTTGGTGCCTTAGCTAAGGTTATTCTGGTATGTTCAAAGCAGGCAGAATCTGTCTACAAGACAATAGGGTAAGGTTCTGCAGTGGATGGGAAATTGAATGACAAAGATACCAATGATGGAGAGAAACTAGGGGCTGGGAGAAGCTAAAGTGACACTCACTGCTACACAAAACAAGAACATGCAAAACACCAGAAAGTGCCAACGGGAAACAGGCTTGCACCACTGGAAGAATGATCTATTCACCATAAATGTTAAGATAAAAAGGAATATCTGCAGTTCCTTACATATGTTGATACCTCCCTTCTCTCCTCATTATCCCATGTGAAAGCTCGCCCCCTCTCACCACAGCATCTGGATGTTCCATTGACAGAGCATTGTCTCATGGCTGCAGCGCAACTCCTGCTTTCTATTACTGGCTATAGGAGAAATGTGTGGTATATTAAACAAGGGCATAGAATTTTAATTCTGCTGCATGATTCAACATTTAATCATTTATTCAGTTTTGATAATAACTGCTTCTTTCTGTGACCCTGTTCGCTCAATTACGATAAGGTTAATTAAACTCTTGTGCTACATAATTCAATACTTGCGTTAGTAACAGCTTGGAATAGAAGCTGACAGAGAAACCAGTTTTTTATTATGAAATACTGTACTGGAGATACCTCTGAGAAAACTGAAAAGTGTTGCAGTTTGCAAAAGTGTTTGATTCAGTGGAACATTCCCCTTGCATAAGAAGTGACATTTAATAGGATGTATTTTGGTGTCTTAGCTTATAGGGGATAGCAAAACCAAAAGTCCTGCCAAAGGTGCCAAAAAAGAAAAAGGTGTGTTTGTCCCTCTGAACAGTGTATCACATAATGTCTACTTTGCAAGGCAGCACAAACAGACCTACAAAGGCAGCTTCTTCTGAATTTAGGAATAAAGCTATTAAAGAAACCACCTATTTTCACAATAAGATTTAAGTTATGCAGACCAAGGTCAAAACCAAAAAATCCGTAGTATTATTTGTGTATAAGGGCACAGAATAGTAAGGGATTAAAAGGGGAAAGGGACATACAAAATAAAATAATTTACTGCTCAAAACCACATTCCTTTCAGAAAATAGAAGCAAAAGTTTCTCTGAGATGTTGCTCCACCTCTGGAGATATGAAGTGTTTGTTAGATCCTTCCTCAAAACAAAAGGACGAGTATATTAATCTAACAACAAAAGCGTCCATTGTGAGAGGGGACCCAGTGCCAGGCTGCCTGCTCCATCTGACAGTGAGAGTAAACACCACAGCTCTGTGCACTTGGCTGCATGTCTTGCCTGACACCACCATGCCGTGCAGCCACAGGGTCAGTCACCACAGGGTACAGGACTAATAGGATTTTCCTACCCTTCCATCATTTCTGCATGTTTCCAGTCTATGAAACATCACACAATGTTTTGAGCACCCCTCCAGATTGAAATAGAGTAGTATTACTACTATACACTAATGTTGGATGTAGTGTGATGGTGGATCCATCACTATCGTCACTTATGAATGAATCACACAAAATTCTGTCCCCTGTTGCTGAGGGGCTGAAATGAGGCATATATAATCACTATAACAGAAATGCATGTACATTCATTCAGTCCTCCTAAAAATATTCTTAACTTTAGGCTGAAACCACACCTTCAGATCTAAAGGCTGGATTCTACTCTCATTGATTGCCAGATGAATAAGGACACTTCAGTTCAAGGATACATATATATATATATACACACACTTTTTTCAGATTAGTTTTTCAATCCTAACCAACATAGTTGGGTGTTGATAACATCATTTTGAGAACCTTCTTTAAACTTTTAAAAAGTAAAGATCTAGAAAAAATGCATCTGAAATAACATTAGATCTAGAAAAAACTCATCTGAAATAACATTTGTTATTATTTAAAATTTATAACTCATAATGCCACAATATTTTTATGGCATTTGATGAACCATAATGCATGTACATACTTGTGCATGCATGTATACATTTATACATTAATATATTCATGCAGATGTTTGAGTGAAACTGTGACAAAACTTATTGCTGGTAGGGTTAGATTGCATCTGATTTATTGCTGGTGTCATTATTTTCCGGCAGCATTCTTGACAGTGTGGAAGAATATGGTTTTTTAAGATGCCACTACAAACCCACTACAAAAAATAAATTTGTTCCTAGAAACTAAACCTTATCAGATCTGTAAAAGTTGTGTAGTTAATGAGAATTACG